GCTAGTATAATATATTTTTGGATTAATTTTGTTTTTAGAAGTTTTGTCATATTTTGAATATCGTCAAAAAAATCATGCAACAACTGTGAAAATTTAAACAGACAATGAAAAAACTCTATATACGAGAATGGTCGAAAAATACCACATTTCATCCAAAATTCGTCCTGTATACAAGAAAAAATATTAAAAAAAACAATATTTATCTAAGTAACACACTGTATATGATCTAGCGACGACTAGACAGGCCCGCACAAGGCTAATACGATATTAATTTTAAATAATCTCTAATTACTTGATTTAAATTAGTTTTCTGTAACCTTTTCTCGATCAGTGGCGGCCTTGAAGGATTTTAATTGTAATTTCATAAGAGCCGAACGATATAAAATCGACTTGCAAGGCAATTATACAGGTTATTATTATTATTATACACGTTGTAATAGTCTGAATAATTGGTCAAATAGGAAGTCCCTTGGCATTGTAAGCGTTTCTAACGGCATTAGGCATATTTTTATTGTAATGCCTGTAAAACGGTCTTATTACGTTGATAATTTTCATTGTTAAATTGTTAGAAATATTAAAAAAAATAAATACAGCGGCGGACACATTTATATGATCATACCAAATAACCTTTTAGTCACGTGATTAAGTTTGACCGGCACAGTGTTGCCCACTTTTACAAATTTTCTTTTGATCAAAATATTTTACGAAATAAAAATAAATCTATACTGATATATAAAATCCTTAAATGACTGACATACTGATTAATCACGATCCTGCTCAAACCACTCAACGTAAGAAGCTCAATTTTGGCATACAGGTTGATTCTAGGGTGTAGAGGTTCGATGAAAAGGGATTTTTCGAAATTCCAGTTCCAAGAGGGTGAAACCACCCCTCAAATATTACAATATTTTTTATTTAAAAAACGGTCAAGTTTCCGAAAAAACGCTTAAACACGTATATTTCATTTTGTTTTTATTCATATTTTAAGATTTTTTAAAAATGTATACAAGGTGTTTCGAAAAATCTGGTCACTGATTAATCACAATCCTGCTTAAAGCGCTTGACGTAAAAAGCTGGTTTTTGGAAAAGACTTTAGGGTGTAGAGGTTCGATAAGAAGGGATTTTTCGAAACTCGAATTCTAAGGGGGTAAAACTATCCCTCAAATATTAAAAAAAATTTTATTTAAAAACCGGTGAGTTTTTCGGAAAAACTCTTAAACACGTATATTTTATTTTGTTGTTTTACATATTTTAAGATTTTTTATAAATTTATACAGGGTGTTTCATAAAATATGACCATTGAGTAATCGCGATTCTGCTTAAACTGCTTGACGTTTGAAGCTGATTTTTGGCAAACGGATTGACTGTGGGGTGTAGAGGTTCGATAAGGAGGGGTTTCTCGAATCTCAAATTTCAAGAGGGTGAAAACGCCCCTCAAATATTACAATATTTGTTATATAAAAAAAACGGTTAGTCTTTCGGGAAAACGCTTGGACAAGCATAATTTATTTGTTTTTTTTACATATTTTGAAATTTTTTTAAAAATCATACAGGGTGTTCCAAAAAGTTGGGTAATTTCTTAACCACGATTCTGCTTAAACTGCTTGACGTAAGAAGCTGATTTTTGGCAAACGGATTTTTCGAAAGTCAAATTCCAATGAGATGAAACTACCCCTCAAATATTACCAAGTTATATAATAATATCGCCATATTGTTTTTTCTCATGCTGACATAAATGTGAGAAAATTTTATCCAGTTTGTATGTTAATGGAAATTCTTGCTTTGCTTTATCATCACCATTACAAATGATTAATTCAACGCGAACGAAGTCGCTGGTACACGCTAGTATTCTAATAAAGTTGCGATGAGTTTTTTACGGCTATTAAGCTATCTTGAACAACTTTGCACTAAAAGAGGTTCTAAAAAGAACAATGTTCCACTGCAATGTCTACTAGGAAACATTTTTAATCTTAAAAGATTTCACAACACTATTTATTTTTAAAAAAACTCGTAATACAAAACTAAAAACCAAACCAACCCCAAAGAGAGTATCTAAATATGTGAGGGAAGCACACCATAATTGGCAATGGTTGAAAAAAAACGAAAATAATGATGATATGACAATTTTAATGTAGAGCAGTATATCTTTATGCGGTTTGATTTGTCACGCGTAAAAACCGACGTCAGTTAACCCAGTAAACTCTTTTAAAAATCCAATTAAAACATAATTAATTTTATTCTAACCAATCAAATTGAGGAATTGGCGAAATTGTGCTATTTCAGGGTAGACTTTGATGGCGAAGGGCTTAAAAAAGAATTGTTTCATGTTATTTCAACCCTTAAATTGAAATAATAAAAAATACCTCTTTAATTTTCTTAACTTTCTGTGAAATTTTGAGTTTAATTACTGTGAAAGGTGTTTATAATTATTTTAATTAAAAATAATACTTAAATTTAATTGGACAAGGTTGGTTACGGATGAAGTGAATTAATATTTTGTGTTTTATTTCTTATTTTTTTAATGAAAAATTAAATAAACCCTATAATGGGAGAATTTAAGAAGTATCCAGATGATGATTTATAACCAAAATTACCAAAGTAGGAAGTTCTTAGCAATATATTATAAGTATAATGTACTCTTTAGAGCTGTAATAGTACTGTAAAAATACCGGTTGCGCACAGTGCTTCGAACATATGGCTCTCTAGAGGACAAAAATGCAAAACTTCTCTTTTATTGTAGGAAATTTATTCAAACTAGGTTTATTTGACACAAATGATGAGTACTCTCATTGTACTAAATGATGATGTTCTTAGTCCCACGTTTATGAAAAAAAATCCTATAAATAATAAAAATGTTGGAGCTGTGTTCCATCAAAGGAAATAATAATTTATAGTATGAAAACGGTGTAAGTATTAAATAAATCTTTGTGATAAAAAATATTTTAAATAACATTATAACATGATTCCTACAATATAAGCCTAATATATGATAAAAATGTTTTTCTTTAATGAAAAAGAAACATTAATGTTATATTTAATTAAAAAAAAAACTTAAGATACTATAAATTTACTTTAGGATAACAAATAGATCGTAACTACTCTGATTCAGAAGAATCACTGCTGACAGAATCTTCCAAATTTATAGTATCCAAATCACAGGTAGATGAAGTATCCTCACATATAAGATATTTCTGTACATCATTTTCTAATATGTTACTTTTTTGCGTTGTTACTGTTCTTTTTGCTGGTATGAGGCGTTCGAATGTTAATAGTTACCTCTTTAATAGACCATATCCATATATTATTTTTCCCTTTTTTTTGGGTATGAGGTTTTATATGGTATTATAGAAAGATGGAAACTTTTTTTATGCGACGTTTCGCTCCAACATAGTGGGCTTTTTCGGGCACAAGTGGTGTCTCATTTGACTGGAAGGTTCGCCAATATCTAATAAAGAACACATTTTTTGAAATAAAAATAATTTTGAGTTCTTGTCCTTACTATCAAGCCAAGTATTAACCAGATCGGCATTGCTTATCAATTTTACTCCATCTAAAAAGTATTATAAAATCAAGTTCGTCGCAAGCAGACGCAGGTGAACTATACAAAAATTAAAAGTGTATGAATATGACAACAAAAATATTTAATAGATACGATATGTTTTGATAGGTATGTTTTTTTAAATGCCTTTTTGAAGTTTGAAAACGTAAAATTTTTATACCCATTTAAGAATCATCTTCAAAAATAAATAAAAACTAAACAGTCACGAACTTGTTTAGAAATAAATTTAAAGTACATACCTTGTTTAACAATATCCATAATTACTTTCAATTAAGTACGTACCGTTTAACTCCATAATATACAGAACTACTATGAATGTTATTCTTTTCACTGATAAGATAATGATCGCAAAATTTATTTTTAGTGAAAATATTTGCTAACAAAAAACGCTGTTTATGAAAAATAATATACAGGATGGTTGAACATTGCTATAAGTATAAAATTACATATTCAGATATTAGTAAATTTTAATTTTTTTTTCGATTTTTGTCCATGGGAGGAAGCACTGTGGTGCGTCTCAAAAGTGGTTGACCCCTATAACTTTTTTATTTTTCCAGATAAAAAACAATATTTGGCATGTTAGTATATGACATAAATTAGGATCGATTGACTTATACAATTGTTTCAACAAATCGTATTTTTAATCATATCTCAATTTTTTCAAGTGGAACAAGAGTGGCTCGTTAGCATATTTGAAAAATAATTTTTTACGAATAATTTGGTACCACACACTTGGTTACCTCAGACAAATTTTGGTTATGAACCGCATGTTACAATTTAAAATATACCATATGCGAAAATGTCAAAAGTTGACATATGATATGTCATTCTATTCAGTGTGTCATATTCTATCGAATAAAGTAAAAAAATACCGAGGATGCGCTTTAAAAATCAAAAGTGGTAGTCATTTCCGGTGAAACAGGAAGTGGCTAAAAATAATTGAATACGTCAATCAATCCTAATTTATGTCAAATGCTAACATGCCAAATCACGTTTTTTATCTCAAAAAATAAAAAAGTTATAGAGGTGAGCCATTTTTAAGACGCCCCCGGTATACCATTATTAGTATGACAGATGAATAAAAACTAGATTTAGATCCATGTAAAAAAGAAACAAGCATGATTTAATGTATAATTAACGCATTAACTATAGTACATTATCACGTTTAATAATAAAAACATTTTTCTTATAGATACAAAATTGCAATGAACCAAACAAATAATTAAATTAAATTCACTGACACAAGCAAAATTTAATCAATTCCATATAAATTATCATTTTTTTCATTCATTTCATTCATATATTCCCAGTACGTACCGTTTTACAACGTAACTCAGAAATCCCAGTGCATCAGTACCATCTCCAAGAACCATTTACGTCACCGAAGTAGAGTACTGTCGTACTACCTCGCCTACGGTCAGCGCTCGGGGTTTAAAACTGACCGCAAAACGATTTCCATCGCCTTTTCACTCGAGGTGGGCGCCCAGTAGCCACCGAACACCGTTTTTATTTTGGTTTTTGAAAGGGATTCAGTCGAAGAAATATCGAGGAATCACCGAATTTATCAACCAAAAAAATTTTTTTTTTCGATTTTTTGTTGGGGTTTTTCGTCAGTGTTTTTATAGTGCTTTTTCTAGTGTTTTTTGGTGATTTTACGGTACCATCATGCCCGCTAACATTGAAGATGTGACTCTTGAAGATGGAGAGGTATACAGTGATACTTTAGGATCATCGGAAGGTTGGTGAACATTTAATGATATTAAAAAAATCAGGGACCATATTTTCGATATATCAGTACAAATTATACATGTTGACTAAATAGTTATTTGACTGAAATCATAAATTTGAAATATTTTTGTGCCAAAGGTTCAACAGAAACTGTTTTATCATCATTTTTTGCAGAAAAATTTATGATTAATTAAAAAAAAAATAAAAATTTCCCAAATTTATTATTTCAGTCAAATAACTATCTACTCAACATGTATATTTTTTGTCTATAATGACCTCACCATTCAAAATATCTTGAGAACGATTGCTCATAGCGATTTTTAACAAGAAACACCTTTTTTACGTAAAAAATGACGGAAATGTATGTTTTTTCGCTCAGTAGTTTTATACAAGTGGCGCCCCCTACAAATAGGGGTCATATTGACATCAAAATCAAATTTCTCATGCCAAAAGACTGGCCAGACGCCAATTTTCATCCAAATATTGACGTTACTTCAGAAATTATTTGGAAAAAATCGAAATAAAAATAAAACTTCTACACCCTGTATCTCCGAAACTAAACATTTCAGGACAAACATTTATACGACCTTTTTACTTATTTTTATCTACAGAATATGCTACCGTAGTTTGCGGAATACAGTTCGGACCACCCTGTACATTATTTGGAACGTTTGAATTAGTTTAAAAAATTATGTTCTATTCGGAGTACTAAAAATGACTTTTTGTGCCTCAGTATGTAAAACGTACAGCCTTGCTACAAAAGTGTCATTTTTACTCTCAATAAAACAATATACTATTTCCTTTAAATTAGTCTCCTTTTGTCAAGTTTTTACACTATTTATTACCCAAAAAATTTACCCCACTCCCACGTTTTCTATTGAGTGAGTGTGTTTGTAACTACTAAAATCCCTCTTAATTTTATTTGTTTTTCTTTCAGACGAAGAAACAGCCTTTCTATCGAAAAAACTCAACCATTTAGCCTCCAACATCGATGACAAACCCGCCACTTTTGAAAGCACCTCCACCAAAAAAGACCACGAAACCTTCTTCCGAAGATGCCTCGACATCCTCTTGCAAGAAGCCGTCTTTGAAGGCACCTCCCGCAAGAACAAGGTCCTCGAGTTCCGCCAGCCCGAACAGCTAATGAGTGAGTTCGATTTCCAAGTGAACCCCGACGGAGAAACTCACGAGGAACTCATTCAGCACCTGAGAAACGTTATAAAATACTCGGTGAAAACTGGACATCCTTATTTCGTCAATCAGCTGTTCTCTGCTATAGATCCCTATGGTTTGGTCGGTCAGATACTGACAGATGCCTTGAATCCCAGTGCCTACACGTATGAAGTTGCTCCGGTGGTTATTTTGATGGAAGAAACTGTGTTGAAGGAGATGAGACAGGTTGTGGGATGGAAAAATGGAGAGGGTGATGGGATTTTTTGTCCTGGAGGGTCGATAGCCAATGGATATGCTATTAGTTGTGCCAGGCACTATTTCTATCCAGAAGTTAAGGTATGTAGACACTGGGAACCATATTTATATCCTACGGTTGTATAATAATTATATTTTTTCCATAGCAACTGTTAAAATTGCCTTATGTCTATCAAAAATAGTAGATATTATAACATAGTACAGCTGGTTCCAATAAAATTGAATACGATTTAAAACATATTTTTATTATTTCGGGCAGTATATTCTATGATACCAAAAAAAAAGACTGTTTTATACACGACGATAAAATTGCATTATCGTCTCGTGAATTAATCTTTTCGGTCTTGTATAAAAAATAACTATTATCATATATTTTTTTTTATTATAAAGAACAGAGAACATTATGAAAAAGTGTTCACTAGTGAAATAAAGTTATTGTATCCCACTAGCTGATAAAATATCAACTTTACACTCTTCATATGAATGGATAAAACTACCATTTTATTGTTTGACTGTGGATAAAATATTTAATTTGGCTGTATTGAACACTACAACCTTTCATCTCTTTAGGTAGTAAAGTAGAGATAAAAATTTGTATGAAAATGCATTACATCTGTATAGAAATAAAAAAATAAAAAAATATTTTTTTAACAAATTTAACCATTTCTTTCAGACCAAAGGACTTCATGGCATGAAAAAACTGGCTGTTTTCACCTCAGAAGACGCTCACTACTCTATAAAGAAACTAGCCTCGTTTTTAGGACTGGGTACTGAAAACGTCCATCTAGTTAAAACAGACTCCATAGGGAAAATGGACCCAGAACACTTAGAACAGCTCATCAAAAAATCTATTGATGATGGTATTAAAAATTTTAAAAATTCTCGATGTAAACTTAATGAATTTTCTTTTGCTAGGTAGTGCTCCGTTTATTGTATCGGCCACTGCGGGTACCACAGTATTGGGAGCCTTTGACCCTATAGAAAAACTGGCAGATATCTGTGAGAAATACAAGCTGTGGCTTCACGTGGATGCAGCATGGGGTGGAGGAGCCTTAGTCTCGAAGAAGCATAGGAAACTCCTTAAAGGAATTGAAAGGTACATAGCTAGAAATATTCATTTTTTTATTTCCTTGAAATGCCAAAAATTAATTGAAAATTCCCAAAATCGATGGGGTATTTTCCGTTTGCTTTTATGACTCGCACTCAGCGGATCGATTTGGTGTCAAATCTAAATAGTTCACCTAAATTTTTAGCTCTCTAACTCAAAGGGTTTTCGAAATTTTCAAAAAAACCTGCTTTTTCAATTTTGTTTCTATTTTTAGAGTAAAATTCAAAATTAATTAATGATGATTTTTTTCTAATTCTTAGAAATCTAAGACATGAAAAAATAATATGATCATGATTCTCAAGCGAAAAGCCGATTTTTAGCGGAGGAAAGAAAATTAAAATCTTCATTGAAATATGTCACTCACCTGAAATATCTCACTCACCTTCGTGAAATATGTCACTCACTATAAATCTTCAGAAAATGTCTTTTATACTTCTTTACACTCAGGAATTTTTTAGAATTTTTTAAAGTGCTGGAACAATATGAAAAAAATTAAAAAATATTTTTTTTTCTAAAATCTTCTCGGTCTGATTTTTTATAATAATCTTTATGTTTATTTCTGCCAATGGTGTATTTTTAATGAAAAAATATTTTCTGCTCACTTTTTTAAACCAAATAAAAATATAAGTTAGTTCAAACAGAAGATTTTAGAAAAAAATGAGTTTTTAATTTTTTTCATATTGTTCAGGCGATCATAAAATTCTCTTCTTACATTCGCTAGTTGGTAAACTGAAATTCTATTGCATTCGGCAGAAATAGCATTTTTTAACTCGTCTAGATTTGGGTATTTTTTATCCTTGTATATCCTGTTTTTTAAATGGCCCCAGAGAATGAAATCATTTGGCGAAATATCAGGAGACCTTGCTGGCCAATTTACTGTATGAATTAGGCCAATAACGTTTCCGTTAAAACTATTGTCTAAATGTTCCCGAACAGCCAGGGTACTATGTGCCGGGCAGCCATCCATTTGGTACCAAACTTCCTGATTTTCCCTAGCGGCATCATGTAAAGCAGGTAAAATATGATTTTCGAGTAGTTTCAAATAATATTCTGCATTTAAATTTCGCGTAAGAAATAATGACCCGATAATATTGTGTCCGAATATCCCTGCCCAAACATTTACTTTCTGTGGATATTGCGTCCTTGTTTCGACAAACCTGTGTTGGTTTTCTTTGTTCCAATATCGATAATTTTGAACATTGGGTTCATTATTTAAGGTAAACGTGCTTTCGTCAGTGAAACATATGTTTTTTAAAAAATTCCTATCCGTGTTTGCTCTTTCCATCATATCAAAACAAAACGCCTGCCGCCGTATTTCGTCCCCATCTCGTAGCTCTTGGTGCTTTTCATATTTGAAGGAATAGTATTTATGTCGCGTCGTTTGAAAATTCGAAACGCTGTAGTGTGATCTATTGCTATTTCATCCTCAAATTTTCTTGTGCTGATCTTTCCATCGTTCTCTTCCACGCACAATAAAACTTCCAAGTCGGTATCATTTCTTGCATCTTTTCTTTGTTCCTGCCTTGCTTCACATCTGCAGTTATTTATTAGGGTACCTTTGGTCTCAAATCTCTGGATATTCCTTGCGATTGTAGATTTTCCAGGTATCGGTGTATTCGGATACAGAGCAGCAAACATGTCCGACACCTTTTGATAACTATTTCCTTGATAATACCATTTCTTCGGTAGTGGAATTCATGGCTAATATTTTCGATGTAGGTATGAGTTTTTAATAAAAATAATAAAGCACTAAATAGATAAATTTCTAAAATGACAACTTCATTTGACAGTTATCTTTTACCTTGACTGGTGGTCATAAGTAAATACAGGGCCATAAGAAAGGAGAAATATTTAAAAAGAAATCGGCGATAACTCGTAAACGGGCTAATTAAAAATAGCTAAAGTTATTCTTTTGAATGTGGGTTTTAGTGCTCTTCAATAAACCTAAATAGAATTATCTTCTAAAATAATTAGGAAAGCCAATAATTGACCCCATTAAAATTTACATGGGATTTCCTATGTCCCGCTCGACAATGCAACACTTAATTAGGAAAAATAATATCTTAAAGAGGAATTTAATAGATTTAATATAAGTATAAACTGTGCCAATGCCATGGGTAGCCTTAAAATCGGAAGTGATTTACAATCAATCTCTGGTATTACGAAAGCCTAACCTTCGCATGTCGCTCGTTTGAGAACTTGGCAAAAAATAAAAGTACCATAAAGTTAAGTATTCAGATTAATAATAGTACATGTAGAGAGACTGTTAAGTGTGTACCGCAATTAATAGATTCAATCGGAGAATGTGTTTCAATGCCCAAGACCTTTAAATTGTCACAAGTAGGTTTCTTTTTAACAAAAAAAAGGTCACGAATAAGTAAAATTTATTGAGTAAAACTACAAGAATCTTTCAAAATTCGAAAGTTTATGAAAAATACATACTTTCACTGATTGAAAGTTTTTTTTTAATAAGTCCACACTAAAATCCGAATCAATATTTACAAATATTTGAAATTTAACAGATCCTGGCGGTATATGAGAGCCTGTATTATACAGGGTGGTCTCATTTTAGTTGGAATCTTCATCAATTTACCATAAAGGCCAAGTTTACACATTTCGTATCAAAAAACTTGTGGTAGTTTCTTCAAAATGGAGACAGAATTGACAGAAAGTTTATTGCCTCAAAAAATAAACGTAAAAAAAGATTATGGCACAGAAAATAAGGCGTCAAGTTGCAAAACCCGCCTTATCCATTCAAAAAAAATTGGATTAATGACGTATATTAATTGTGAAACCCTGAAATCTACATAAACATAGTCCCAAACTGCAGCAAAAGTCGCCTATCTATACTAATATAGGTATAAAATCCTTGTGACTGACATACTGATTAATCACGATCCTGCTCAAACCACTCAACGTAAGAAGCTCAATTTTGGCATACAGGTTGATTCTAGGGTGTAGAGGTTCGATAAGAAGGGATTTTTCGAAATTCCAGTTCCAAGAGGGTGAAACCACCCCCCAAATATTACAATATTTTTTATTTAAAAAACGGTCAAGTTTCCGAAAAAACGCTTAAACACGTATATTTTATTTTGTTTTTTACATATTTTAAGATTTTTTAAAAATGTATACAGGATGTTTCGAAAAATCTAGTCATTGATTAACCACGATCCTGCTTAAAGCGCTTGACGTAAAAAGCTTATTTTTGGAAAACAGATTGACTTTAGGGTGTAGAGGTTCGATAAGAAGGGATTTTTCAAAACTCGAATTCTAAGGGGGTGAAACTATCCCTCAAATATTAAAATATTTTTATTCAAAAACCGGTGAGTTTTTCGGAAAAACTCTTTAACACGTATATTTTATTTTATTGTTTTACATATTTTAAGGTTTTTTATAAATTTATACAGGGTGTTTCATAAAATATGACCATTGTGTAATCAGGATTCTGCTTAAACTGCTTTGACGTTTAAAGCTGATTTTTGGCAAACGGATTGACTGTGGGGTGTACAGGTTCGATAAGGAGGGGTTTCTCGAATCTCAAATTCCAAAAGGGTGAAAACGCCCGCAAATATTACAACATTTGTTATTTAAAAAACGGTTAGTCTTTCGGGAAAACGCTTGGACAAGCATAATTTATTTGGTTTTTTACATATTTTGAAATTTTTTAAAAAATCCTACAGGGTGTTCCAAAAAGTTGGGTAATTTCTTAACCACGATTCTGCTTAAACTGCTTGACGTAAAAAGCTTATTTTTGGCAAACGGATTTTTCGAAAGTCAAATTCCAACGAGATGAAACTATCACTCAAATATTACCAAGTTATATAATAATATCGCCATATTGTTTTTTCTCATGCTGACATAAATGTGAGAAAATTTTATCCAGTTTGTATGTTAATGGAAATTCTTGCTTTGCTTTATCATCACCATTACAAATGATTAATTCGACGCGAACGAAGTCGCTGGTACACGCTAATTCCTATATAAAATTCACTACAAATTACGTTACTGCAGCAAAATTCATCTTATCCACTTTTATTTGATTTTTATTGTCATTTTATCGTTGCAAATCCTGTATTTTTTCATAGGCTTTTTACGCAAGTATAATATTACTATACTGACGTTTTATCCATTTCAAATCATTACCCATTTTAATAAAATAAGCATATCTAATATATCAAATCATACTGCAACAAAACCCGGTTTATCCGAATTATTTTTGTTATTTTTCTGTTTAAAAATGAAAAATTAATTTTTATTTCTAGTAAAACAAGATACAAAGCAATGATTTTATTCAATGGACACGTTTTTTTTGTCAAATAAAGCTTCCGTTTGTGGGATAAGACGGGTTTTTCAACTTGACGCCTCAACTATTAATAAAAAAAATTACAGAATCTTCTTCTGACTAACTACTTGACGCCATTTTTAAAACACCACTTGAACGCCAAAAGTTAAGCCGTATATAGTCAAGTGAAAATGAATCAAATCTTGACTTGTGACATGATTAGATGACTTGACTCTCGTGTAAAAAATACTAATAATTAATTAACAACAAATACGACTTACCAATTCAAGTAAATAAGGCATCATCACTGTTTCTGTCCCCCGAAACGCTGAATTTTGAGATTTCCAAGCCAAAAATACATCGCACTCTTTTTTATAATGTGTTCGGGAGTTCACTAGTACAAAACTTCACTATTTTTAGTTGATTTCACTAAAATTACCGATAAAAGTTGATTTTTCTTTGTAATTTCTTGAAAACCCGTCGAAAAATTCGCGAATATTTGTTTATAAATTAACAAAAGAATGTATAAACAAGTCCCCAGCAACCCCTTTGACAGCGCAATGCACAGCTTGCTATGTGCGTTAAACATTCAATACAGAGTTTCGTTATTTGAATTTTGTATTAAAAATAATACGAAAATACTAAAAATTGAGATTTCAATTTAAAAAAATAGCTTTTTATAGTTCTTTAAACAGCTTTTTTGAGTTAACTCTGAGTTAAATCTATATTGTAATAATGTTTTATAGTATAATGTATATAAAACAATAAATAGCCTTTAATATAATAAGTTTATAGTAAAAAAAATAATATCAATGCTCTTTTAAACCTTATTAACTGCTACAGAGTGATCTGTCAGACACCTCACGCTAAATACTCCACTAATTTCCTAAATTTACTGTTGTAGTAATGAGTATTGTATGGTTTTTGTTGTTTATTTGTTTGTTTTATTAGACATATATTAAAATTAAGTTAGATATGTGCTAATTTACCATGAATACATATTAGAAAATTTGTATTGATGGCCAATAACATTTTTTTCCAAATGGTTGACGTTATAGCACAAAATATACCAAGAAAACTAAAACTAAAGGTGAATATTGAAAGATACTATGGTATGCGAAACAACAGTTGAAGAGAAGTGACTAAAAATGAGAAGTATTTGCTCTATGTGCTCTTAAAAAAAAACATCGAGTATCCCTATACAGTTTGCAAAAAGAAACCATTTGCCTACAGTGCTCAAGAAAAATATGTTTAAATTGCTGCGAGTATAATAATATGAGAAAATATTACTTTTTTTTGTTTTCCACATATTTTTTTAAATAATGTTTGATTGCAATGTCACAATTATTGTTTCTATTAATGTTTTAATATGACAGAATACAAAAGATTATATTCGACAGTCTTTGTAATGTGTCTATGCTTTATCTGCAACGTTTTGTCGACACAAGCAAAACGTACGACAAGTCGTTGAGTATGGAGCGTCCTTTATATTTCTTTGTTGTCTTAGTTTATAATTTACATCAAAACAGTTAATAATTACATACTTTTAATCAAAGTACATATCACAAAAATCAGAATAAAACACCTGCATATAAATTTTTATGTCTTGTTAACTATAAAATCCGTCTTATGCAATAGTAATTCCTATAGTAAATTACATACTCAACATTTTTACTGTTGGACTAGCTAAGTGAAGGCTAAAATTATTAAAATCTCGTAATTCCTATAGTAATTAACAAAGAACTTACTCTCTTTGTTCTTTGAAATTATACCGACATTAATTTATTTAGAGAATATAAAAATTAATATGTTTTTTTGTTTAATATAGAGCTGACTCAGTGACATGGAATCCCCACAAACTGCTCACAGCACCTCAGCAATGTTCTACGTTCCTCGTGAAGCACGAAAAAGTTCTTTCAGAAGCACATTCAGCAAATGCAGCATATTTGTTCCAAAAAGACAAGTTCTACGATACAAAATATGATACAGGTAGGTCAAAAACATTATAAAAATACCCTAATTATTAGTATCTGGTTTACAATTAACCACAAAAGATTTTTTTAATAAATAAAAAGTCCGAAAAAGTATATTTTTGGCTATTTCTTACACATTTTCAAGGCTCGCAGAATGGGTGTAAACATTACGTTAAAATTATGAAATTTTCACTATTTGTAGGAAATTTTATGTACTTTTAAAATATATAATCCTTTAAAGACTTGAACTCTTTGGTTTTGTTAGAAAGTTGATTTTTTCAACCCTTGTTTTTGAACAATATTTGATGATTGCTAAAAATTCGTCTTTATATTATTATACCGTATTCATAAGATCAAAAAAGAGTATATTTCCTTATTCCAAGCCATTTAATTAGGTAATATCGCAGTAGTTTCATAAAAATCTGTGACTTACCCAAAATCGCCAATTTTTTTGTATAAAAAAGTCGCAAAATTTTCAATTTTTGGCTATTTTTCATGGCGCTCAAAAAAACAGTAATCATCACGATAAAATTATGAAAATTTCAGGATTTGTAGGAAATTTTATGTACTTTCAGAATATATAAACAGTTAAATTCTTAAATGATGCAATTCTTTGAAAAAATCGATTTTCTCAACCCTTATTGTTTTTGAACCATTTTTTATAATTCAAAAAAAACATTCCAAAAATACAGTATGTAAAAATAAAATGCCTGTTTAAAACAAACCTTTTTCTACAGGTGACAAGCATATACAGTGTGGCAGAAGAGCCGATGTCCTCAAGTTCTGGTACATGTGGAAGGCTAAAGGAACGAAAGGATTTGAAAACCACATAGACAAAACCTTCGACAACGCAAACCACTTCCTCAACATCATAAAAGAACGACCTGGCTTTGAACTGGTACTACCCGAACCCGAATGCACCAACATCTGCTTCTGGTACGTACCACCAAGCCTCAGAACCTACCAGAAAGAAAACTTCAACTCCACTGTACAAAACGATGAAGAATTCAAGCTGAAACTTCATTCAGTAGCACCCAAAATTAAGGAAAGAATGATGAAGGAAGGTACCATGATGGTAACGTACCAAACCCACAAAAGCAAGCCCAATTTCTTCAGGATAGTGTTCCAAAGTTCGGGGTTGGATAGAAATGATATGCTCCATCTTGTTAGAGAGTTTGAAAGATTGGGTGAGGATCTTTGAAGTTAAAAAAAGGGTATTTTAGACAAGTTTTTTTTCTCTAAAATATTGAAAATTGTTGGTTCTGATTTGGTAGAAGAAATGTATACCCAGAAATTTGTTAAAAATATCACGCATCACACATTGTATGTTTTATCATAGATACAAAAAGTGGTAGGTATATAAATTTGACTGTTAAACCAAAAAGTATTGGATATACAACACTAAAAAATTTTAATTACTATTTTTATAACTGTATTCTGTGCTTGAAGTGCCTAAGATACAAAAAAAAACGGCGTCCAGTTGGCTTGGAAATGAATATCGATGACATTCTCCATATAATTTTACATATTTATATAAAATGACATCGATCATCCTTTCATAGCCATCGCTGACGCCGTTTTTTTTTTGATCATACAGTATTTTCTTTATATTTCTTTGAGTTTAAATCATTTTTTACTGGTCTATAATATGTTTTCAAAATCTTTCTGCATATAAAAATACCTTTAAATTTAATAGTAATTTTTATATACTACTACTAGTACATTTATCGTTTTTTCTTAATTTATTTTATATAGTTTAAGTTTATATAGTATTTTTTCAATGTATAATAATCATTTTTGATGTAAATACTTTTATTTGTGATAAAAAAAATGATTGCACATTAGAATATTGTTGTTATTTACCTGCAAACCTAGATCCTATAATTTTGACTTCCCCAATATTTTTTATGATATTTTTTACCAAAAAAACACATAAATATTCTTTTAATTAACAAAATTTCAAACATATTTTGGTTATTTATAACAAGTAAAGAAATAGAATAATTTATACCAACAATATATAAATTCTAACAGTTCTTTTTTTAAAAATATATACCCTATGCTCGAAAAAAAAACGGCGTCGGCGATGGCTATGAAATGAAGATAGCTGTCATTTTATATGTAAATTTGTATGGGAAATGTCATGTCCGTCATTTTCCAGCCAACTGGGCGCCGTTTTTTTTGATCATATACATAATATAAAAATTAATAGATATGAAATTATTAATAAAATATCATATTGCTTACTTTACTGATATCAGCTAGAATACCTAGGAAGAGGACACATATATTTTGATGATGATATTACTAAATCATTTATATAAACTTATACATGTCTTGTCCTACCTCACCTAAATCACCTACCAATGTATAAATAAGCTTCCTATGTATAAAAACAAACAATTTTTATATAATTCTATGTAAAAACAGTTATAAAATCTAAAAACTATACAAAAACAGTATTATTCCTATTACTAACTCCATATATTTTTGCCTAACTTCTCTGTGCACTTATGCATCAAAAGTAGCTCCACAATTTCGACATTTCTTCTCCCTCAGAGCCAAACAACACAAAAGACCAAGTGGAAAAAAGAATATAGCACATAAAACACCCAAACAGGTAAAATCATCTTGCAGTACCCCTACCCTACAAGCTGGACAAGCTCCTATAAAGTAATAATTAAAAAGAAGTATTTTTAGTGAGTAATAATAAATTATTACCTATTATAACTACATCTGGCTGAGTTTGAGTTATTATAACGGTGGTAGCAGGTGGTATCGCCCCGTATCCTTGTTGTGTTCGGACAAAATTAGGGTACTCTGGTAAATATTGCCCAGGCTGAGCAGTATACGGAGGTGGAGGTGCCGTACCTTGGTAAATATGGGTATCTACAAGTGTTTTTTTTTAACATAATATAAGAATAAATAATTTAAATTATTGATAATTAACCTTGGGCATATTGTTGGTAATCGGGTGGTGGACCAGGAGGAGCTGATGATTCTTGATGTTTACTCATTTTCCTGTCTTGGTATGATGCAAAAAAATAACTCCTATAGCACAAATATCGTATGACTACACACTAAATGTATCATGCTACGATATAGAATTCTCTGTAATCACTAAAACAATAGAATTGTGCGTCAAAAAATTATAGTATACTATTTTAAAAACAATGCTCGCTTTAACAAAATTCACCCATATATCTCTGGTCTTTAGAATCCTTATAATGTAGTATAGAAAAACAGATCCTCAGTTGCTAAAATTCTAAATAATTAAAACACTTTTACCTATATTTTTAGCAGGGTGCTTTGGAATTTGATAATCGTTTTTTATTTGATTTTTCTAGGTTATTTTAAAAGTCAGGAAGTGTCAAACAAATATAGGAATGGCATAATTTACAAAACATCGATATGTTGTATCAAATGAATCTATAAATTTGTCAAAAGAAATTTGTATTAAATTATTCATCTTTATTTCCTGCTTATTCAACTATTTCCAATTATGGTGTAGCCTCCCTCACATATTTAGATACTCTCTTTGCAGTTGGGCCCATTTTTTATTGTTGGCGTTGGCTATGCGGGCCCAAGTTATCACTGCTATTTTCCTAATATCATGGTCCCATCTCAGGTTCGGCCTTCTTCTAGGTCTCCTTATGGGTACCATGCTGTAATTGTCCATCTTGCCAAGTGTCCTGCTCATTGCCACTGGAGAGATTTTATTCATTTAGTGGTATCTATTTTACCTGGGTCTTTTGGTATATTCACTCGTTTTTTTTTAGAGTTTTTGTTAGTTATTCCCAGCATTTTTTGTCCCGTCGAACGTTATGTGACATGCTGCTTTCTTATGATGTCAGATAATCGAGCAAAGTATTTTAGCTAATATATCGACACTTTATAGAAAAAATATCGATACATTGTAGTTCTCTCTATCCATAAACTGTCAAGCAAATCTAACCTCACATTTTGTCGGAAAAAATAAAATTTTCATGCGATTTAAAATAGTTTTAGAATCTCTTGAAATTTGAAATATGTCCTTATTGTTAAAATCTAGTATTAAACCACACACAGGTGATTTTAGTTCATGTTTCAGGACTTTATTCACCCTTTCAAAATGCTTAAGCAAGAACAATTCAAAAGATCCCAGTGAAACAAGTTCTTCCCCGTTAAAAAGACTTTTAGAAGAAGCATCTTCGTTTGAAGACGCCAAACCAACAAGCCCCGAACAAAAATGGGCCACCATGCCATATCCAGAAGGTATATTAATATATTTTACCCATTCTAGCTACATAATTTTGCCATACTTTAGGTACAAGAATTAGGAAACAAGGCGACTACTTCAAGAACCCCAAAAAGGACTCTAGAGAGAGTTCGATCATTTTATTCCCCGGCCAGGGCAGTCAGTACGTCGGGATGGCTAAAGATCTCCTTAAATTCCCCATGGCAAAAGACCTGTTTGAATTAGCCAATTATATTTTGAAGTACGATCTGTTAAAACTGTGTTTGGAGGGCCCAAAAAGTCAACTCGATGAAACCAAGTACAGTCAGCCAGCTATAATGGTCTCTTCTTTGGCCGCTATAGAAAGATTGAAAGAAGAAAGGCCTAGAGCTGTGGAAAATTGTGTAGCAACCGCTGGTTTCAGTTTAGGTGAAATCACAGCTCTGGTGTTTGCAGGTGCAATAGGTTTTGAAAGAGGTATTTTTAAAGATAAATGATAAGTTTTTGTATTTATTCACAACTTTCAGCACTGCATTTGGTTAGAATACGTGCAGAATCAATGCAGATAGTCAGTGAGACGTATAAAGGTGGTATGGTTACAGTTTTCTATGCTCCAGACAGTAATGTAAACTTTGCCTGTAAAAAGGCAAAAGAATGGGCCATCGATAAGGGTGATGAATTACCTGAGTGTCGAATAGCTAATTATCTGTATCCTCACTGTAAGGTTGTGTCTGGAAGTGAGTCAGTAAGAATATTTTTTATATTTATTTTTGTATATAAAAAAGTTTTTTTTTCCACTAGGCTATAGATTTTTTGGAGAAAAATTACAAGGAATTCAAAATAAAAAAGGTAAAAAGGCTTGCAGTAAGTGGAGCTTTTCATTCTGACCTAATGAAAGATGCTGTGGAGCCCTTTAAGAAAGCCCTTAGAAAGAGTGACGTGCAGGACCCTATAATAAGTGTTTATTCCAATGTCGATGGTCATAAATACAGAGACGCTGAACATATAAAAAAACAACTACCTAAACAGGTATTTATTAATAATAAAAAAAATAAAAAAAAAGTAATTATCTGATTTTTCCTAGATTATTAGGCCAGTTAAATGGGAACAGTTACTGCACGTGATGTATGAAAGGCAATCAGGTGAACATTTTCCTAGAACTTTCGAGTGTGGACCTGGAACAAGCCTTAAAAGCATTTTGAATCAAGTTAATGCCAAAGCTGGGCTATCATGCTTCAGCATCGAAGCATAGATATTGTATTAAAATAAAATTAAGTTTAAAAAAGTTGTTGTTAAGTAATAAAGTAATATTTTCTACCTAGTTGTTCTGTGTTTTATTTTAAAACATTTCCTTTTAATAATGGGAAGAGTATTTAATTTGCCTTGTAAGAAAACATGATATATCCTGGCGCATTCGCCAGTTTGTGGAAAAAACTAACAATAATGCCTGAAAGAACCAAATTTTGCAAAAAAATTCCTTATTAAAGTTTCAAACCCTTAAAAACCGATTTTTTAACATTCAATAACTAAGTGGATCAGACTTTTGATGGAATTTCTAGCTGCTGTCTTTAAAAAACATGAAATTTGAACAAAAGTCATTTTAAATTATACTTGTTATTGAGGAACAACCCGATTTTACGACATTTATCCCATAATGATAAAAAAATCTTAAAAGTATAAATAGAAAAAGAACACAAAGCTCAGATGGCTACAAATATTTTTTTTTAAATTGTATATTTAAGAAATATTACTCTCTAGCCAGATTTAAACGTGCTTTTAAAAAATTTGGACTGTACCTAAAATATTCATTATTTTGTTTTAGTGCTATACGTATTCTTAAAGAGCATAACATTTTATATAATTCCTGTAAATTTCAGTTTTTTCGTGCTGTTATTAATATTTTACTGGTAAATAGAAAAACTGGAATTATTTTTTAGCATTGCTCAAAATTTCCGAAAATTGGCCTGTCTCTCCCGTGCACTCCCTCAAAACTACTAACTTTTCAGACTAAATCAAGACATATTCTAAAAGAATATAAAATTCTACATACGATAAGTATAGTTTTAGATGTTTTAAACCATTTCTAATATATTCTTAAATGCTATATATGAAAAATCGTATGTTTATGACAAGCTCTTAAAAAAATCGGACTACACTTGAAGTTTCGAATATTTTCTTTTATTGGTATATATAGCCGGAAAGTACATAAAATTTTATATAATTCCTGTAAATTTCAGTTGTTTAGTACGGTTATTAATATTTTTACTGGTAAATAAAAAACTCATATTGTTTCTTTAGCGTTAGTCAAAATTTTAGAAAATTGGACTGTCTCTCCCTAACAGTCACTCAAAACTACTAACTTTTGAGATCATCTGAAGACATATTCTAAAAGAATATAAAATTCTACATACGACAAGTATAGTTTTAAATGTTTTAAATCGTTTCCTATATATTCTTAAAGGCAATATATAAAAAATCGCATGTTTATGACAAGCTCTTAAAAAAATCGGACTGCACTTGAAGTTTCGAATATTTTCTTTTATTGATATATATAGCCGGAAAGTACATAAAATTTTATATAATTCCTGTAAATTTCAGTTGTTTAGTACGGTTATTAGTATTTTTACTTGTAAATAGAAAAACTCATATTGTTTCTTCAGCGTTAGTCAAAATTTCAGAAAATTGGACTGTCTCTCCCTGGCAGTCCCTCAAAACTACTAAATTTTGAGATCAACTCAAGACATATTCTAAAAGAATATAAAATTCTGCACACGACAAGTATGGTTTTAGATGTTTCAGATCATTTTTTATATCCTTTTAAACGTTATATAGAAGAAATCTTATGTTTTTGACGAGTTTTGAAAATAATCCTGTACAAAACCATACATTTTTAAATAATTTCTGTAAAATTTAGTTATTTAAAAAGAGTAATAATTAAATTTCTTCAACTATTGAATATAGAGTATCCAAATATGTGAGGGAGAATTCTAACAAAAATTGACAAAATAAAACCACAAAGAAACAAAAAAAATTAGTATAATAAAAACTTATCTATATTTACAATGTATAAATCTATTTTATTTATTTTACATATCTATAAACGCATTTCTTGTTACTTTGTTCTAATTAAGAAGGTACTAGGTATGTAAATATTTCAGTATTTTTTTTTATTCCTTCAACTCTTTCAATTCAGTACAACATCGGTACTACTGATTATTATCATTAAAAGATCTCTCAAAATTTTTCTCTTTTAGTTTTCATCTGGAACTTTGAAAAAATAACTTTCCCATCAAGTTTTTTTTATAGTTATAACTCTGTAACTTCTTCATCTTTACTGTATTTCCTGTAACAAACGTGACCAATATCGTCACCTTCAATGACATAAGGTCCCTTATTCCTGAAAGTACCGTATCCTTCAGAATGGTCGTCACTATCCTGGATTTTTTTCGAAGTTTTTACTGGATAACTCTGACGAACGTGTTCTTCCTGGTACTCCTTAGTGTGGTACTCTGGATAGGTGTTTCTGTTTGAATGGTGATGGTGATTGTACTTTCTGGCAATGTCTTTCTGTAGTGAATTTCTTTCTGGTGATGTATCTAAAAAATATTAATAATAATAATAATAAATGCCTTTATTGTCAAAAAATTTTACAATTTGTAGACAAAGGTAAAGTAAACAAACAAACTAAACAAACAAACAAAAGATAATACAAAACATTATACAAATAATATTGTCAGTCTTATTGTTTAAAATAAACATTTATATAAATGTTTACAATGTCAAAGAATAAAAAAAAATAAAAACAAGTGTTTACAGGATGAAATTCGATTATCAAAATATAATTCATTTACGGCGTAGAAAGCTTTGTCTAGTAAATAACAGTTCAATGCTTTGCGAAATGAAGAAAATTATGTTATGGATTTGATTTCAAATGGCAGGTGATTGTGCATTTTTTTCGAGTTGTATAATATTGAACTTTTAACTAGTTCTGAGCGTGGGGTAGGTAGATAAAGATCTTGCTCCGCGTTCCTGAGTGGATAAGTGTGAGATGGCCTTTCTTGAGAAGCTGATACATGTTTACGTATTAGGCAAACGGATTCAAATATAAATAAGGAAGGAAGAGTCAATATTTTTAATTCTCTAAAAAAGCCCCGGCAATGAGTTCTGCTGTTTAGTCCCAGTGAATATCGAACAGCTCTCTTCTGGAGCTTGAAAATGCGGTCAAATTGAGCCGCACAACACGTACCCCAGAATGGAAGGGCATACCTGAGGTGCGACTCAAAAAGTGCATAATAAACAGTTCTAGCCACTGACAAGTTAAGCTCCTTAGAAACAGACCTTAATGCAAAACAGGCAGAGCTCAATTTTTTCGACAAAGCTTCGATATGTATGTCCCATTTCAGAGAATTGTCCACAACAAGCCCTAAGAATTTTACGGATTTTACGACGTCAATGGTGGTGTTGTCAAGTACAAAAGGCTGCAACGAGTTTTTATACGACAAAGCCTTAGTTTTAGAAATGTTGAGACTCAGGAGGTTCGAATCGCACCAAGATTTAATGGTGATTAAGTCATTTGATATAATCCTATGAAGTGCCGCGATGTCCTTGTTGCTCCAAGTGAAGCTAGTGTCGTCCGCAAAAAGACATATTTTGCCACTGATGTTTATGTTAGCAATGTCGTTAATAAAAAGAAGAAACAAAATAGGGCCTAGTACTGAGCCTTGTGGTACTCCACATTCTATTGGCTTGCTAGAAGACAACGTGGTATCCACCCTCACAAGTTGACTTCTGTTGCTCAGATACGACTTAAACCATTCGAGAGATGTTCCCCTGAACCCATAGTGCTGCAGTTTATTAATTAGGATCTTATGATTTACACAGTCGAACGCCTTAGAAAAATCACAGAAAGTTGTTGCTGTACAATGATGGTTATTTAGGCTGGAGTAAACTTTATTAAGGAGGGAAAACATAGCATCATTTGTGGACTTGTTGCTTAGAAATCGAAACTGATGTTCAGTAAGTATTTTGTACTTAAACAGAAAAGATACCAGCCTTTCTATGATTAAAGTTTATGTTAAATAGTTATTTATGTATCAAGGGTTAATTACCTATATTATTCTTCATTTCACTACTAACATAGTACAACTCATCATAATTTCCTCCATTACTCAATCTATTGTTCTCCTTAATACCATTTCCTTCATTGCTGAGTCTAGGTTTAATCCTGATACTACTGATATTATTATTGCTGGGTCTACCCAAAGAATTCACATCTCTCTGAAAGTAGGCTCCAGCAATTGACATGGCTGTCAATTCTCTAGCTTCTTTCTTAGCCTTCTTCTTGATGGTCCTGGTATAATCTTTGGTACCGCGTCGTTTCAGAGTGAAGTCCCGTTCACCGGTCTGGCTTTTCGTGTTCCACTGGACCCATTCATGACGCAACATGGGATCTTTGGGACCCCAGTTGTGGGATGGTTCCAGAGAAGCTTTCAGTTTCTAATGGGCAAAAAATCTGTTAAATTTGATAACATACAGGGTGGTCCGAACTGTATTCCTGAAACTTTGGCAGCGTATTCTGCAGGTCTTCGTTTCGGAGATACAGGGTGTAGAAGTTTCATTTTTGTTTTGATTTTTTCCAAATTATTTATGAAATAACGTCAATATTTGGATGAAAATTGTTGTTTGGGAGTTGATGAGATGAGAAATTTGATTTTAAAGTCAATATAATATGACTCCTACTTGTAGAGGGCGACATATCTATATATACTCCTATATCTTGGTAAAAATCGCTACAAGTAATGGTTCTTGAGATATTTGTAATCGAAATTATCAATATCTGTCATCATTGATATAAATTAAACATATGTTGACTAAGTTATTAGACTGAAATCATAAATTTGAAATGTTTTTGTGCCAAAAATTCAACAGAAACTCTTTTGTCATCATTTTTTTGTCAGAAAAAATTATGATTAATTTAAAAAAATAAAAATTTCTCAAATTTGTTATTTCAGTCAAATAACTATTTACTCAGCGTGTTTATTTTTTGTCAATAATGACATGTATTTTTCATTCTAAATATCTTGTGAACGGTTGCTCTTCAAAACAGTTTAAACACATGTAGGTGGCGCCCCGTACCAATAGGAGTCATATTGACATCACAATCCCAAATTCCTCATGTCAAAAAACTCCCAGACACCAATTTTCATTGAAATATTGACGTTACTTTATAAATTATATGGAAAAAATGAAAATAAAAAAGAAACTTCTACACCCTGTATCTCCAAAACTAAGCATTTTAGGACATATATTGATACAAACTTTTTTACTCATTTTTATCTGCAGAATATGCTGCCGAATGCCGAAGTTTCCGGAATACAGTTTGGACCACCCTGTAGATAAGAGTAAGTACTGATCACAGTCTATTTATTAGACAGCCTGTCAAGTTAAAATGGTGAATTTCCCGTGATTTTTTTTTCACTCTTCGAGTTATGTCCTTGTTGACTAAGGAATTAGAAGAAAGTGAATTAGGGGATCTACTGATACTTCTATATACAGAAACCCCACACGCACTGGACAATAACTACTCAAAAACTAGATACTCGTATAGTCAACTGGATGTCTAATAAGGAGACTGAAGTACTGGTAATGCTTAGTAAAACTTACGTCTACTGCTGTATATCCATCTTGCTTCCGCATGACAAATACTCCCATGACAAAAACAAACAGGAAAGCTATGAGTACCATGCTCCAGCCGACTGCGTACAACCAAATTGAGTCTTCTTTGTATGTACCTTCGAATGGTAGAGTTACCAAACCCCATACGAAGATGGCAGTAAGGAAAATGGGTATGAACCACCACAAAAACAGCCAGAATTTCGACAAAAGTCGACCCAGAATGAATTCAAAGTCAGATTGAAGTCTTGTAGTACCTAAAGGTTTGAATATATTAACTAGAAGTTTGTATAATTATTTATTTATAAAAAAAATCTTACCATAAAAAGCTACAAAAGCTATAACTTCGATCACTACAGTGACCAAAATCAAGTTTCCCACTACGTAGTGATCTAGTAACCGTACTAATTCAAAGTCGTACCGTAATAGTACCAAAGTTCCGAAGAAAAATCCACAAAATCCGAAAATAAGACTTGTTTGCCATCTTTTTAACCTGATTCCATCATGACCGTATATTGCTTTGAGTAAAGTATAGGTCAGTGTAGCCTAAAATAATGAAAATATATCATTATCACTATTAAAAAAAGTCACAAATAAATAAAGTATGTACCATGCTGACTAGGCCCGAAAACACAAACAGCAAATACAGAGCTATCATCCAGAAGGTGAACTCCGTATTGTTTTTCGCAAGAATTGAGTCATAGATGGACGCAAACAAGTTCACTTCTGTAATTTCTGGATTGGATGATGAAGACAGGTTGACATTTTGAGTTAAAATGCTTGATATAATCACAGTGCCAGTTCCAAAAAGAAGATTCGTTGATATATAACCAAGAGCAGTCCTAAAAATGCATAATGTTCTTTAATGACATGCTTATATCTAAGAGGATGATTATTATAGTCTTATTCTAAGAAAAAAACTTCGTATGAATGTATGTCCTAAACATATTGATAATCTTTTTTTCGTAGAATAGGTTCAAGAACAACCCCCTCAAATATCAGGCTGTCGTTAAGGAACATCCTGTATATTGTTTAAATAATTCATAAAATAGTTAAATTGTTTTTAAAAAAAAACTGTTTAGTCTTTTTTGAAAACAAATATAGTTAATAGACTTTCTAGAAACTTAATATAGTTGATATACAATTGTATAAAATAATTTGTACCATAATGGGTTCACTTTGTTATACATTATCCCAGCGTTGGTAACGAATGATCCAAAGCCTATGTTTGTGGAAAAAAATATTTGTATAGTAGCGTAATACCATATCTAAAATAAATAAAAAAATTTATAAATAAAATGGTTATATTAGCAATAAAATTCAATTTATATCTAAAAGAAAATAGGTACCTCTTATCAATAAACTATAAAATAAATTTAGATATAGGAAAAAAGTTACCTCAGCTTTACCGAGCAAACTCCAATCTACATTTTGAAAAAATATCCACAAAACGGACAATTCCGACTCCAGAAGTATAGATTTTGTCGTCAAAGCTATGTAACATGCCAAAGTTGGGAAAAATAAAACTAACAATGACCTTATATAGCTCTTAGTTCGTTTGATTGATCTATAACAACAATATTAAAGTATTTATATAAAATAACTTATTCATTTTAATACTTACATTAAAGTAACGATTACCCAAATGAAAAACAACACTGCAGTGTATATTCCAAAATATACAGGGTCCTCAAAAGGTCTTTTAATAAAAGTACTCCTAAAATTTTCAAAAAAAAAACATATAAAAGTTTGTTTTAATAAATAAATTAAGAAATGGTACTACCTGAGACACTCCTGTCCATTTTTAGGTGTTGCCGTGTATCCATCCTGAAAAATTATATTAATTAAAGAAGTTCAATTAGTAATTTAACTCCTATTTAGATATATAAACTTATTTCTGTGATATTTGAAGTACATTCAGTAAGTTTTTCGTACTTACTTCGGTTATGACCACGCCATTGTTGCACTCGGCAAAAGGAATAGTACCTTTCAGGACCCAGATAAGGTACATTATGGCAAGACCCATATACAGGGGGTAGTAGATACTTAAAAAACAACCAGCTAGCAACTTAATGTATCCTATACCTACAAAAATAATTGTAACTCAGTACATCTGCAGATAATGCAATTAATGTTAAAACTAGTGATGGGCAAGAGTTTGGTTTTCGTCTCGACCAAAAATCAAAACTTAGCATTCAAATGTCATTTTTTTGGTGTGAAGTTACCTTTAAAAAATGGCACGGCTCTCCAACTCTTAATGAAGCCCTCCTGGGCCATTTGGCCAACGCCCAATTCGAGGAACAGTAAGGGGAGGCCAATTATCACAGTTAATATGGCGTAGATCACCAAAAAGGGTAAGCCTCCATGAACTAGGGTGGCGTTGGGCAGTCTGTAGAGGTTCCCTAGGCCCATTGCAATGGATATGGTACAGATAATGGTAGAAATATGGGAACACCATGTTTGACACGACTAGAAAGGAATAATATTTTTCAAAATTAATAGAGATATAAAGACAATTTTTATTTTACAAAGTATTGTTAATTTGATTTAAAAGATTGTATTTAAATAATAATAATAACAATTTATATTAATATTAATTACTCTACGTATAATTCCAGATCTTAAAGAAACAAGTAAATCTAGAGGTTTGATATAACGGTTACATTTTATTCACATGTTGCAACATTCCATAGAAATATCAACTTGAAAAAATCCGTTTATTGTGCAAGAATAACTCCAATATTTCCTGCAACGCAATATAAAATTTCAAAATAAACTAAAAAACAGTTTTAAATTAAGGTAGGTGTTAATTTTCAATGAGTTTTATAAATTGCTACTTTACCGGCTATTAAGAACATTAATTATTGTTGTTTGTTGTTTTCCTCCCAGCACATTAAACGACATTATTGACTTAAGTACCGTATGATCGAAAAAAAACGGCGTCCAGTTGGCTGGGAAATGAACATCAATGACATTTCCCATATAAATTTACATTTAAAATGACAGCGATCTTCATTCCATAGCCATCGCTGACGTTGTTTTTTCTCGATCATACGGTATAATGACTATAGAATTAAGCTCCGTTCATACATGTCAATCACGTGTGTGTCCCGTTCCGTCAATATATAAATACGAGCCCTAACAGCTATATGTTGGGACAAGGTCTTTTTTTGCAATAAAAATATTAATTTGTTAAGACGACTCAATTTATTTTGTTTATTATTCTAAATTCAAACATCACAATATGATCTAGGCAATTTTACTGTATTTTCATAACTTTGCAAACAAATCACTTTTGATAATAGCTTATTTTGCCAAAATCAAGCCAAATTTGCTGACAACTATATATTGGGACAGCACAACAAGAAATTTGTTTAATACGGAGTTACATCACCTTTCGCCTTAACAACTGCCTGAACTCTTAATGGCATTGTATTTACCAAAGATTGGCACATTTGAGGAGAAAAAAAATTATCCCAAATATCCTGCAGTTTTGTCCGCAAATCAAAAATTGTTCGTTGAGGGTGGTTTCTTAAATATTGCTTCATTTTATGCCACACAGTTTCTATAACATTGAGGTCCGGACTACTTGCAGGATAGGATAGAACTTTTATATTATTATTACCGAACCAATTTTTAGTTGATTTTGCTGAATGGCAATGCTCCATCTTGTTGAAAAATATAGTCTTCGTTTGGAAACAATTCTTGAGCACTAGGCAAAAGTGAGGTCTCAAGTATATGTTGATATTTTTGGGCGTTAACAGTGCCATCTATAAAATGTAATTTGCCCAAATCTCTTGCTGACATGCAACCCCAAACCATAATCCCCTTAGGAAATTAAACAATCCTCTTTAAGCAATCTTTATGAAAGGCTTCTGCTTGATTTCGTATTATTCGTTTTCGATTATCTCCAACGCAAACATCAAATTTAGACTCATCGCTAAATATGACCTTATTCCAATCATTTTGTGTCCACGATAATTTAGATTTTGCCCAATTGTAGCGGTTTTTCTTTGGCCTAAATAAGAATATGTATCAATAATCTTCAGGTAATTGATTATCCACACAAAATAAAGTTTACCTTGTAAAACCCCAGACCGCATTTATGGATATATTTTCGGCAACATTCTCTTGATATATTTAATCCAGTTACAGTATTCCATTTAACTGTTACTTTGCGAAGAGTACTTCTTCTCGCAGACTTGCAAATTTTTACTAAATTTCGTAAATATCTCTGAGATACAACTTTTGGCCTTCCCGAACTTTTACCTTTAACGCCTACACGGGCAGATTCGCCGTATTTTTTTATTATATTAAAGACCGTGGTTTTTGGAATACTTAAATCATCAGAAATTTTTCGAATTGTTTTTCCCGTACTGTATTGACGAATGATAATTTCGCGTAGTTTTTGATTTGTAACTTTTCCACGGACCATTACTTTGGATTAAATTAACAAAATTGAAAATTAAAAAAATTAAAATTACTTACAGTGCAATTACAAAGTATCGAGTCACTTACAAGCTGTCAATGCTAAAGTAAACAGTTTGCGACATTTGTGACGTTTATAGCAAAGCCGCCCATGATATTAATTATTGAAAAATACATGTCTCAACATTTAGTTGTCAGGCAAATTTGTCCTTTTATGAAAAAATCCGCTACTGTAAATATGGATTGATTTACAAATTCATAAAAATATTGTCAAGTTGTTTGGGATATATGGCATTTTGAAAAAGTCATTTTGAAAAACCAGGGCAATAATTCCAAAATATGACCTTGTCCCAACAATATACTTGTTAGGACTCGTAGTTATTTTTTATACAAGACGATAAAATGGTATTTTATGGTGTGGATGCAGCTTTATGTAACTATACCCTCCTCTTTTTTATGGTTCGAGTAGCTTTTTCTTGCTCATTAAGAACAAAAAGCAGCCACAGCTAATGTTCGACAAATTTTAAAATTGAAATTAACTAAAACTATCTGAATCGGAAGACAAATCTTGACTGATATGTATACGCATAGCCATCACCGATGTTGATTGAATAAGACTAAGACAGTACGGCAACTGAAAAATGACTGATATGTGTGAATATAGCTTTAATAAGAATTTTTTTATTGCTTGATCATTTTCTATATAGTAATTATATTGCGGTTTGTATAAAAATACAGCAGCATTTATTTAATTTATTTTTAACAAAGAAAAAATACGTATTAATTGTCTTATTGTTAAATAAAGCATAATCTTGTACAGAAATGAATATAACTTTTAATTTATTTGTTCATGGAGCTACATACAGGGTGAATCTTAAATTAAAACAAGTTCAAATAAAATTTGAATTTCTGGACTTATTTGAAAAACGGTAAAGAGAAAATATGTGTCTTTTTTTTTCGAGATCTACCAGCCCTGTGAAAAAAATTGCACTTATTTAAGACTCGCCCTGTATAATATATATGGCATGGATAAATACACCCACATTTCGTAAGGCTGCTGTATAAGTAATTTGAAAAAATCAACCGTGTGAAATACTCAATCGGTACATAATTTATGGCAATTATATTATTACGAAAATATAATTATTATATCGATCGTAATAATCCTGAACCCTTCACTTTTAAAATTAACACTCACTGAAATCTAATTTAATAAGTATAGATTTCCTGTGTTTCTTACAAAATAATTTTCCAAAAATTAAAAAAATGAAGCTACATTAGGAAACGTTGGCAATTTTAAGTTGCAAGTGATTAAAATTCTTGAAAAATCGTATTAAAATGAACAGAATTTGGTATTTCTACATCAAAATAAATCTAGTAATAGACCGAGAGCTGGCTACATAAACAACCTTATCATCGTTACATGGCTAATTTTTCTTGTGAAGTCTCCTTATGTGTAGCCATTAGGAAATAGTCATGTCTGCCAGCGCGATCCCGGGGCTTAAAGCGGGGGCAGCCAATCGAAAGGGTGTAATTTTAACATTAAAAATATTATAAGGTACACGAGTTATAATTGCCAAAGAGCTTTTATTTATTATTAAAAAACGTGGAAAATTGTAGGCAGACATTTTTCCCGTGGCTAAAATGCCGGCAGACAACGCGAAGGAGGCATGAAATTTTAACAAAAAAAAATAATCGCATACATGCATGCCGATTGGTGGAATGGCAAAAGGGCAGATGAAAAAAATCGTGAGTCAATCAGCTCTAGACACTTATCAAAAGCGCGATATTACTCTACAGGGTGAGTCTTGGATAAGTGCAAATATGTTCAGGGCTGGTATCTCGACAAAAGAAATATATTTTCTCTTTACCGTTTTTCAAATGAGTCCAAAATAACCGTTCAAGTTTGAAAATTTAAAAAGATATTTTTAGAAAGATTTTTGAGTCACATGTTTTTTTCTGTATTTGCATCCATTCTTTTAGTGTCGTAACAAGGTCATAACCATAGAGTAAAGCCTAAGCATGGTAGATTAAAAAATTATACCGTGGGCACTGAACCAAAAGTCGAAAAGTCGACATAATGTCATTCGGCATACATGTGAACCATATTTTTTTTCCAAAATTTCATGCCGTTGTCTGCCGGCATTTTAGCGACAAGAAAAATGTCTGCAAACTCTTTTCACGTAGGTTCATTAAATCAATAAAGCTAGTGTTCGCAATTATAACTCGTGTACCTTATAATATTTTTTAATGCCAAACAATCACCCTTTCGATTGTATTAATGAACCGTTATCATTAATACAATGAAATTTATTTCATTTTATTAATGAACAATACAATGAAATAATTTCATAACCTAATAATCGCTACACATGATCGAGTCTTCACAAGAAAAATTAACCATGATATAACGACTATAAACAGATTTTTTTGTAGCCAGCTCTTCGACTATAAGGTATGTTGATAAAAAAATAAACAGATTTAACAGATTTCAAAGAGTTACATGAAGAAAAGAAATGCTGTACAAAATCTTTACCATGGAGGAAAATCACAAATAAAAACGGTCAACGGTCTCTCAGAGGAAATTTCTATCACTAAAGGGCTCCGACAGGGTTGCTGTATATCCCCAACACTATTTAAAATTTATATTGCCAAGGCCTTACATCTATGGAAAAGAAAATGTAACGGAATGGGTATAGAACTAAATGACATATGCCTATACACCTTGCAATTTGCAGACGACCACGCCATAACTGCAAGCGACAAAGATGACATGGAATATATGGTGCGGAAAATAATTGAAGAATATGCTAAATGGGGTCTCACAGTAAATACAGAAAAAACAAAATACCTTCCAATTGGAGCTAATACAGAAAATCTTATTTTAGAAAATAATATGGAAATTAGGGCATGTGAAGATTACAGGTACCTGGAATCGATATTTACAGGAAATGGAACGGACGATAGAGAAATAAACAACAGAGTACTACAGGCACGAAGAGTTATCAGATGCATAAATGGTATTGGTATGGAGCACTGAA